CTCTCTCTCTCTCTCTCTCTCTCCCTTTCAGTGTTTTTAGTATTTGTTTTCGCAAACCCTAAACAAACTTAAAGCAAATGATTCTATAAATTAGTCGCTCATAAAATGCCAAATGAATTGTTGTCATGCTTTGCAAATATTTGTGTCCACACTTCTCATGCAATGTTGTTATTAAAAATATAGTGATTATATTGAAAGTGATTGCCTATTATCTGACTATAGACTTAATTTGTGACTCAATTTGCTAATTGTTTTTTATTTGTTTGACCGAAATGTACAGAACCGGGAGAACCGCCGAGAATTGCCGTCAAGTGTGCGCTCCGTAAGCATAAGAGCAATCGTAAGCCTCGAACCCCTTTCACGACTCAACAACTCTTAGCACTCGAACGCAAATTCCGGACAAAACAATACCTTTCGATCGCAGAGAGGGCTGAGTTCTCCAGTAGTCTCAATCTCACTGAGACTCAGGTATGTCTCCACTCATGTCTACCATATATTTCACTTTACAATCAACTTATAATAAACTCATTTTCTTTGCCTTTTCTTATCTCTCATCACTAAAAATTAGGTAAAAATTTGGTTTCAAAATAGAAGAGCAAAAGAAAAGGTAAGAATTTATTACTCTATTGAGAATTTGGAGATTTTGATAAAAATGACAAAATGTTAACAAAAATATTTTGTGTTTATTTCATGAATATGTATAGCGATTAAAAGAAGCCGAGTTAGAGAAGCTGCGTTTGGCCGCCAGACCCTTCCCGGCGGCGGCCTTTGGGTTCGGTCTGCACGGCGGCGGACCGTTTGGTTTCAACGGCAATATGGGCTCTGGAGGTCCACCGCCCGCTCACTTGAGTTCAGGCGCCGCTGGCTTTATGCTCGCCGCCGCCCAAAGGGGTCCTCTCTTTAATCACATTGCAAACATTGCCACTCCGTATCCCATCTACTCTTCAGGACCGATCACATCATCGGCCGGCCCTTTGCTCACCAATTCTGCACCTAATATGTCGACGTCTTGTCCTTAACTCTACTCAACAAAACATAAAGCGTCTGAAAATCTATCGTTTGGTGGAAACGGAGGTAAAATAGACTCAAGAAATACTTGTTTAAGAGAAAGAAAGTTTGAGATATTTAATGCTAATTGAATGCAAAAACAAAATATTAAAACATGACTTTTAGTTCCTTTAGTTTTGTTTATTAATTAATTAATTATTTTTTATTCCTATAAATGAGTTCACAAAACAAATAAGAAATTTAATGAAAATATAATTAAAAATATAAATTATATTAATATTTAAACTACAAAAAAAACTCATTTTACTATTTGTAATGTTTTAATATACCACTAGTGATGCTGTGTTATTGTATAATAAGATTGTAGTTATAAAATAATGATAATATTGTAAATTATATGATAATTTAATTGAACCGTACATATGATATAATCCCAAATTGATTGAACCTAATGTTGTCTAACATTCACAACAATCAGAGAATCCAAACATTACTCTATTGTTAGTTTTGTAAATAAATCATTTGATTTACAGAATCCCCGACTCTGTAAACCTATCATCAGATCTTGAAATTAAATAAAAAAGAGAGAAAAAATTGAATTATTATTTTTTTGCATAAATATATTTTCATCGTTGGGTTAATATAATACACATTACATACGTATATGTAATGTGTATTCTGTGGGAGAAATAAGTTGATTATGTTTGAAGCGAATAAGTCATACAAACCGAGTGTCTATTGTGCCACTCGTATGCTATTTATGACTCCAATTACAACATAGAGTTAGTGCCGATTCTGTGTGCCGTTTATAGTGAGCGTAATATACATGGTATTTGTGATGTGAATTGAATTCCTTTGGGTTCAATCAAACACACATCTAATGAAATGAAACAAACGGTCATAACGTGTGTTGAGAATACTGTGGACTCGGATTCCCGGAGCAGTGCTTCAGTGGCCGCTCATAAACGTTAATATAAATCAATTTTATTTATAAATACAATTCAAATATTGTGTAAATTGAAGTCGAGTGTAGGGCTGAGCGGCCAGTCGTGCACAACGAGTGCCACTGAATGCGTGTTATAAAGTCATTGTGTTTGCAATATATGATTGATTATTGCTATCCTTTAAACAGAGCTTATATTCTCATTGTTAGCATACAATACAATATAACATAATATTATATTATATATAAATTTCCTCATTTTATTGATTTAAATTATATTCACTACGCGTTTAGTATATGTTTAGCAAATGTGATGGTTATTTAGTGCGAGAGAGAGAGAGAGATATTAAATGCTAATTGAATGCAAAA